GGCGGCCAGGCTGGTGAAGGCGGGGGAGATGTCCCAGGCAGCTGCCTGCCTCCTGCTCTGCAGCAGCATGAACTGGCCTGGGCAAGAGTCTCTGAGCCCCTTCATGCTCCTGGGGACCACAATTACCTGTATGGGGACCAGCCCTGAGCAATTACTTCAATGGCTGTTCCCAAGCTGGCATCTCACCTATTGCCACTCATGTTTCCCCTGTCTCAGCACCACCTCCATCCTGGCAGTGCAGTGACAATGCTATCCCCTTTATTGGCATCACTGCTCCATCCAGCTGCAGCACAGCAGAGGGACAGGGTGGGTGGGTTCCCTTCTGCCTGCTGGTGGCTGGTGCAGAGATGACGGGCAGGGCTCAGCACCCGCTGGTCACTGATGCCCTCACCCCTGGGAGCCTGTAACCATGGTTCCCCTCTGACACTAGGCAGTGAAGTGGGGCTGGCTCAGCATCTCATCCCCATGTGTTCAGCAGCGCTTGGCGGCGGGGCTGACCCGTCGCCCTCAGTCCCAGGTGCCTCCAGCTGGCAACTGGTGGGCATGGGCAGCCCAAAGCTCCTGGGAGCAAAGTCTCTCTCCTTAGGGTCCATCCTGCATCCCCAGGGTGCTGGGGGCTCTGGAAATGTCCACGGCTGTGGGGTGACCCAGGAGGCATGGGGTCCTTGGGGGCCAGCAGTGGCATCAAGGCCCATGCGTGGGCAAGCGGATGCAGGGAGAAGAAATCAGCCACGGCTCACTACAGGATCTGAGCCTCTGCTGAGAGAAAGGGTAGGGGGTCAGAAGAGGCACTGATATACCCCACTCCACACAATCCGTCCTCTGCACCCCCCTCATCCCACTCCCCTGTACCCTGACTCACTTGGCCTCGCCTTCAAGTGGGTGGCAGCAACCAAGAAGTTGTGGGGTTTGGTCTCATCCTTGCTGTGTTTCCTTGCACGGAGCCTGGCAGGGACAGAGCAGCAGTGGCTGAGGACCCTGTGCAACGCCACCCCCCCGCACTGGCCTCCAGCTGGCAACTGGTGGGCATGGGCAGCCCAAAGCTCCTGGGAGCAAAGTCTCTCTCCTTAGGGTCCATCCTGCATCCCCAGGGTGCTGGGGGCTCTGGAAATGTCCACGGCTGTGGGGTGACCCAGGAGGCATGGGGTCCTTGGGGGCCAGCAGTGGCATCAAGTCCCATGCGTGGGCAAGCGGATGCAGGGAGAAGAAATCAGCCACGGCTCACTACAGGATCTGAGCCTCTGCTGAGAGAAAGGGTAGGGGGTCAGAAGAGGCACTGATATACCCCACTCCACACAATCCGTCCTCTGCACCCCCCTCATCCCACTCCCCTGTACCCTGACTCACTTGGCCTCGCCTTCAAGTGGGTGGCAGCAACCAAGAAGTTGTGGGGTTTGGTCTCATCCTTGCTGTGTTTCCTTGCACGGAGCCTGGCAGGGACAGAGCAGCAGTGGCTGAGGACCCTGTGCAACGCCACCCCCCGGCACTGGGACTGCCCATGTCCCTGGCGATCCCAGTCTGCATCCCCATCCAGATGTGCCCAGCTGCTCCAGTGGGCCAGCTCCGGGGCTACAGCCAGAGCTGGTCAGGAAACAGCACAGGGCTGAGGACAGGGAGGTATGGCAGAGCCACAGCATGGCAGGGACAGCCCAGAAGTGGTAGGATGAGAGGGAACCTGGAAACAGGACCAGCAGGCAATGCATAGGGGCATATGTTGGGGTCTCTGTGCTGACCCTGGAGCAGAAGAGTCCACAGGAACGCTTTGGGGGATTGTTAGAAGCAGCAGCATCTTTGCGGGACACAGAGAAAGGTCCCATGGATGTGTGCTCATCATAAAAACCCCAGGCAGGATGGGCAGTGCCAGGCAGGATGTGTTGGGAAGAGGCACTGGTGTGGCAGGGGGGACAAGAGGAGAATGAACCACCTTATGGGGCTGGCATCATGCCTGTTTTGTCTGGGAACCCAGAGGAGGGCTGGGGGAACATGGGGCATCGCACGCTGAGGGTTTGGGGGCCAGAGTGGGATGGGCACAGCAGTCACACAAACCCTTCCTTTTCAAAACCTAACCTACCAGATGAGGATGGTGATGACAAGAGCAGCAGCCAGTACGAAGAAGGCGAAGATCCCGAGGGACACCAGGATGGCTGTCTTCTCCAGGGGTTCGCTGCGGTCTGGGACAGAGAGACTGTCATGGCCAAGAGATGCCACAGCCCCTGGCAACCAGGGGACCTACTGCAAGGTCCTGGGCCCCCCAGCATCCCAGACACACAGGGGCATGAGGCAAGAGACCCTTCCCATAACTGTCAGCCATATGTGTGTCCAAGCAAGCAGCTGCCTGCGGGAAGTCCCCACTCCTGCCCTCTACCTCCAGCTCTACTCACTGATGGGCTCAGGGTTGGGAGCCTGGGAGGGCTCCTCAGCCAGGCTCTCCAGGCTGGTGTCTGTAGTGGTTTCTTCTATTGCCATGGTGGCTGGATCTAGAAGGACAGAGGACATGGGAATCACTCATCCAAAATCACAGGCAGCACCCCAGGAACCCACAGAGATGAGCAAAGAAGGGTTTCCCTAAGGCTCAGGGGTCCTATGAGTCCAAGGGTGTCCCAGGGTGCTACTGGTGCTATGGAAGCCCCACTCTGCTCCAAGGCTGTGGGGGGCAATCCCCAGATGGCCACAGCACATCTACAGTCTGCCATGGGGCTGAGAGATGCCTTGTCCCCCTGCAGCTCTGCCTCCTGCTGTGAGGCCAGTTTTGGCTGGTGTGCAGGACCAGCTTTTTGGGTCAACTTTAAGGGACCCCAGGAGATGGGGCTTGCTCTGAGTAATATTTGGGGGAATGGTGACCATGAGGAAGGGACTGGAGAAGGGTGATGGAGGGGCTTTGGGGACGGATGGTAGGGAAGATGGGGGCTGATACCTCTGACCGGTGTCGCCCGGGCCTCCACACTCCACTCGCTCCAGTTCCCTGCATCCAGGAAATCCTTGGCACTGACCTGGACCACGTGCTCCAGCCCAGCAAAGGCATCCGTGATCACCTCAGAGAGGTTTACTGTCTCCACCTGTGCCAGGCAGAGGGGGGCTGTGAAGCAGGAGGGTGGACCCCTTGCTGCCCTCCCGGACCCTGTGCCCACCTTGCTCCCGTGTTGGCTTTGCCTTCCCTTGCCCACCACTTACCACAGACCAGGAGCGGTGGATGACTGGCCGGTACTGGAGCCGGAACCTGAGCTGGAAGTGGGGCTCCTTGGGCCAAGAGGAAGGGTACTTCCAGCTCACAAGGAGCCGCCGTGGGGCCAGGGGGATGGGCTCCACCACCAAGCCCTCTGGAGGGTCTGGCTTAACTGTGCGGGAGAGATCAGGGAGCCCTTGTCCCACTGCACTGCTGGGGTGCTGGGCTCTCCACTGCCACCTGGGTCTGGATGCCCAGGGGATGGAAGGACACAGGGATGGACAGATGGATGGATGGGGACTCACTGATGGCCTGCATGGTGATGTCAAGGAGACGGAAGCTGGAGCCCAGTGGGTTCACCTCAGTGATGTTCAGGCGGTAGGAGCTCCAGAACTCTGACCCATGGACAGTGCAGGTGCCGGGCTGGGACGGATCCTGCAGGCATGGCCCCATGTGCCCGCTCTTGTTCCTGCAGTCAAGTAGGCAGGGTGGTGACAGGTCCCCCCTGCCCGCCAGGCATAGCTTGCTGGTGACACCAAGAGCCCAGTGGAGGTGGTAGCCCACATTATGGCTTAGGCAGTGTTCTGGGAGCTGCCCTCACCCCTCCAGAGCCCAGCAGCTCCCTCTGAGCATGCGAACCCCACCCCAGCTCCACCACCCATCCTGGGAAGGTCCCTCCTGGGAAGTTCCCTCCCTAAGGCAAACCCTTCTCCCAGGTCCCCAGGTTTGCAGAGGTGGCTCCACTATGGGTACAACCAGCCCTTGTTTTGGGGATCCCAGTGGCAGAGCCTTTGGGATAGGAGCCAGTCCCCAGGGCACAGGACCAGGGTGGAAGCCACTCCTACCTCCGCCTCTCTTCACCCGTCAGCGACTTCTTCCTGCCATGGAAAGCTGGAAAACAGCGAGGATAAGGGAACAACACTGAAGCCAACCCCAACATGACCCATCATGAGAAGTGACAGGGGGGCTGCCCTGGACTGCAGCAATCCTGCAGGGCTCCTCTGTTGCACCCCATTCCTTGATTGATCCATGTGGGCAGCACAGCATGGAAGATGGGGCTGACCCCATGCCCAGCCCTGCCAGTGAGCAGCCTGGCAGCAGGAGCTGGGGGCCTTAGAGAATGAGACTGTGGGGTGCCCAGGAGGGTTCTTCTCACAGGACCCACCTCCCCACTCAGGGTTTCATCACACAGCAGCAGCAACAGCACAGGGATGCTGATAAAAGCAGGTCCCTAGCAGCTGTCTTCACCCTCACCCTGTGGCCCGTGCTTCCCACTGCCCCCTCCCCACAAGCCCCTCACATGGCCCCCTCCCCTGCCCCTCTCCAGCAGCTTTCAGCAGGGCTATATTCTGTGGACTCCAGCTGACTTCAAAGCAGCCTGCTAATTTGGCTGGCTGGGATAATTAGAAGCAGCGATGCCCTCGGGATTCCTTTCATCCTGAAGTGTGCTGAAACACTCAGCAGCTTGCAGATGACCTGCTTCTCTTACACAGCCCCTCTGGTGCTGGCAGAGCTATTGGCAGGGGGGGAGGCCGCGT